TGAGTCATGTTAGCCATGGAGAGTGACTTCCCTGACTCATGAGTACATGACTAGATAGTCATGTAGGGTGGTTAACTCCACTCTAAACCACCATGGCGAGTATAGATCATACAGAGGATGAGTTCCTGGAAGTAGGGTTCACTGGAGGCTTTTTTTTTCTTTTTGCGAGTGAGGGACTGTCCACTACACTTAACAACTGCTGGGACCAAGGGCTTAGTCTCTTAACTTCTGGAGGAGATACCATCCCTTTGGTGGTTATGAGATCCAAAAGAAGTTCTAGAATCTTCCCGAGCCTCATTCTATTATCTAATGAAGAATGTGTATAACTTCTAAGGCTTTTCTCCATTCTGATACTCTGTGATTCTCAGTGGAAGAAGGATGGGGAATCTCCGTGCAATTTACTGCCTCTGAGAACCCACTGGAGGGCCAATATGAGTCGGTTCCGACTTGAGTGCACACAACAACTGGAAGAAGAATAGATTTAAAGTCTAAGAAAAATCTCCATCAAGAATTCCATATTTAATTAAATATGTAATAAAAATAATCAGGGCTTATTTTTCCCCAAATTGGATTAGACAGAGTCACAAATTAAGTCTGCGTTATTCAGGGCTTCAATCTGACATGATTGGAATTTTGCTATATACTTGGTTGTGTATTTACTATATACTAATAGTATTAGGGAGCTCTGGTGGCCTAGTAGGAAGAATTTATGCTATAATCCAGAAGGCGTGTTCGAATCTTCCAGCTGCTCCACAGAAGAAGGATGGGAAATCTCCTCCCATGCAGTTAACTAGCTCTGAAAACCTGCTGGAGGGTCAGCTGTGAGTTGGTTCCAACTTGATGGTACACATCACCAAAACAATAATATATTAGCTCCTATAATAGTACAATAATACTGTTGTTGTTGTTGTTGTTACATGCCATCGAGTTGCTTGCAGCTCATAGTGACCCTGTGTACAAAAGCTCTGAACCCTGCTCAGCCTTTATTGTCTTTGACACACCTTCCCTCGTTACTCCAGTCACTGAGCCAATCCATCTCATCTGGGGTCTTTCTCTCTTGTCTGTCCTTCTGTCCTGCTGCCCTCCCAAGCATGATGTCCCTCTCTAAGGACTGATCCCTCCTTGCTATATGTCCAGAGTATGTCAGACAAAACTTCAGAATCCTTGCCTCCAAGGAGCAGCCTGGTCTCACCCTTTCTAGGATGAAACTGTTCTCCTTTCCATGGTATATTCAGTACTCTTCAGCACCACAGCTCAAAGGCATCAATTCTTCTGTCATCCCTAGTCATTGTCCAGCTTTCTGATGTATAGCAGAAACTAAGGCCTGGATCAGGCACAACTTAGTCTCCAGACTGAAATTGTTGCTTTTCAGTACTCTGGAGAGGTCCTTGACAGCAGACTTACCCAATGCAATCCATCTTTTGATTTCCTGGCTGCTGGTACCAAGAATGTTGATCATGGAGCCAAGCAAACTGAAGCTATTAATTCTCAATCTCTTCACCATCTGTCATGATGATTCCTATTGTTCCAGTGGTGAGAATCTTTGTTTTCTTCATGTTGAGCTTCATTCCATATTGAAGGCTGCAGTCCTTGACCTTCTGCACCAAATGCCTCAGGCCCTCCTCAGTGTACTATCATATAAGTACTATCATAATAGTACTTATAAAACTTTAAGTGGCATTTTACTGTATACTTAGTAGTATATTTACTGTATATTAATGATACTCAGTTGTTTTTATTTCTATTTTGTTTCTGATTTAAGTTTGAATCTATAATTATGTGTAGGCCTCTGAGGTGTTGGTTAGATAAATTTCAAATAAAGTAGCTAAGCAGAAGGTGGAGAGCTAGCCTAGTCCTCTGACCAAACTATTTTCTGCTTCTGCCCCCTACTGGCTAGAGAAGGCAGGCTCCTCTCTGAAGGTGAGCCAAAAAGTGGCCTAAAAGTTGAGTTACTTGTGGATCAACAGTTAATATCTATTTTGAGCCTCGGTCTGCACTGTCGCAGAACCTCAGCAATGGAAGAGAAATTGCAGGCACCAGCTCCTGTCACAGCATGCTGGGAAAGGGGTGGCTTATGGCTGTGGCCAGGCCACTCTGTTCAGAGGGGAGGGAGAGGGGAAATCCTCAGGGAAGTCTTGGTGTCACCAGCTTCCACCTGCTAGGTCTTACTCTTACCCTCAGCCTGTGCCGACTGAGTAAAAATGTTTAAAGGTATTCTTTCTAAAGATAAATTCTAATGTGGGCGAAGTAAATTAATATATTAACCTGAATTTAAAGACATTTTTTTAAAAAGCAATGAAATTGAAAATCTGAGCTTAAAATTTAAATCCTGATGGTTTAATAGTTCCTCCTTTTCCTACAATGGGGTGAGGTAAAGATGTACATTTATTGCATTTAATATGCCTCAGAACTGCTTCTCCCCCACCCCCCAGAACTGGTTTGTCGGGGTTTTTTGAGAGCCAGAAGCCATGTTGCTATGGTTTCAGTGCGGTGTAGAGACCAGATATTTTACACATCACTGTAATAAATTGACCAGTAGGGAGCTCTGGTGGCTCGGTGGTAAGGAAGGGCATTGCCCACCCAGTTTGAGCCGACCAGCTGCTCTGAGGGAAAATGATGGGCAGTCACTTCCTGTGTCATTTACGGCCTCTAGAAACCTGCTGGAGGGTCAGCTGTGAGGGGATACAGTGACACAAATTCACCATCATCCACTTTGACAAGTACCAGGAATCATCCAGAGGGGGGAAATACGGGGGGTGGGGGAGAGCAGAGTAACCAGTGATACACAGGTGAATTCTAGCTCAGATCTAACGGCCAGGACTAGCACTGGGATGACTGAGGACACTGACCTGTCCTGCTCCCAACTCTCCTGGCCCTCGGTGCCAGCCAGGTGAGGTCATTACTATTTATTCTCTTCCTTGCTCTATTTCTCCTCCCTTCTCTTTTCCATATGACTCATATTTCTCTTTGTTTCTAAAAGTATTCTTAAAATATAACTTTTTCTGAAAATTATATTGCATTCCAGTGAGAACTCTCGCTCAGATTTAGTGGTTTAACAGAAAAGATACAAAAATCTGGGAGAGAGCTGGGGCTGTATTTCCTTTGGCCAGCAGAAGAGGGCGCCCTCATTCCAGTCTGCTGCCCTGGCTGTATGGAGCCAGGTCTGGCTAACACCTAGTGTCTTAAGTGCAATTTTTTTATAACTGCACTTTACTAAAATCCATATATCAGGTTAAAGGGCCTTCTTGCAAGCTTAATAATCCATCCAAGTCCGTTCCTAAACAGAAGTTTTAAATTTCCTGTTGCAAAAAGAGCTCTGGTGACCTAGGCTTTAAGGAGTTTCACTGCTGAACTCAGAGGTCAAACCTCTATGGCAGTTTGATCCACTAGCCCTCAAAGAAAGATGGGCAGTCGCCTCTTAGGAGTCTACCTGTCCTGACAGCCTCAGGGAAAAACCGATGGACGGTCAGCTATGAGTCTGACTTGAGGGCAGTGAGTTTTGAATTTTTATTTTAAAGAGGGCTTTGTGGAGGCACAATTTGTAGGGAGTTGTGCTGCCAATCCAGAGGCCACAACTTTCTGGTGGTTCGAATCCACCAGGGGCTTGGAGGGAAAAGGATGAAAAGTCTCCTCCCATGTGACTTTTAGCTTCGGAAACCCACAGGACGGTCAGCTATGAGTCAGTTCCTACTCTCTTAATTGTTGTTGTATACCTTAGAGTTGGAAATGACCCAGAGCTGACCCTCCAGTGGATTTTCAGAGGCAGTTAATCACATGGGAGGAGAGTGCCCATCCTTCTACCACGAAGCGGCTGGTGGATTTGAACTGTGTGCCTTCAAGATTGCAGTGCAGCTTCTTGCCACTAGGCCATCCGAGCTCACTCTTTAATAATAACAACTGATTTTTTTTTAAAAAAAACAACATATAGTTGTTTCTTTGATTGGAAAACAGTAGGTGAAAATTTTAAACACTAAGCCAGCCCTTCTGATAGTGTAACTCTGGAATGAAAGGAAGTTAGTTTTATCAGAGACCTTATGTTCACTCGTATTACAACTTCACTAAAACATATTTTGGAAAAAACATTTGGTCTTCAGCATAAACACCTCTGTAAAGTGGGTTTGTTTCATTTCTTCCAACTCACTGAAGCTTTAAGTCAGTTCAGAAGACAAGTTAAAAACCTACTCCTCTGGCCTAATGCACAATGTCTCCTCTTCCAAGAGGAAACCCTTATTAATGCATTCTGCATTCATGAAAACATAAAAGATACTTAATATTTTAAGTATCTCCTGAAAAGACATGATTATTTTGTGAAAGGACATGAAATCAGTAACATCTGCTAGCTTTGCTGGACCTCATCTCTAGATGGATCTGAAAAAGTCACAAGAAGGTATTATCTTCAGACTCCAATACTGAACCCTAACATCTAAAGAAAATGCTGACACATGGATGGCAAAATTGGTGGTTACAAGGAAGACTACACATTTTTATTTAGAAGTTACAGCGTTTGTTTTTACAGAGATATGTTGCCACAGATTACTGATTCTGGAAGGTTTGTTAATGCTTATAGTACTGTACACATCCCAGTCTGTGCTCTTGGCTTATGGGCCTCTTATTGCAGCACCAAGTCCAATCAGTGTCTCTGCCACCCACCTGGGATACTGTGCACCACGCTGTCCTCTCAGGAGCAATGTGCCTAGGAGTCTTCCTTTCATCCGGTGACCTGTGGGCCTCCTGCACCTCCCAGGCGAATGTGGAGGCTCTAAGAGAAGACTTTGTTTTCCTGGGTCTGCATTCTGGCCAGCCTCAGGCCTTCCTGGTGGGCCTGTTATATGGAGCCTTCTTTACTTTCCCTCTCATACCTCTATGGGTAGGATGCCCATGTCTCTCCAGGAATATAAAGACACATATACATTTATTTACACGTGCATAAATATATAAATATGGCTATTATAGAAAAATAAATACCACTTTTCTCTGTCTTTAAAAAAACAAAACAAACGAATATATAGTCTTTATAGGGAAACAGGTTTCCGTTTAAATTGTAGGTGGCAGTGTTTCCAAAGACGCATGCACTGGTGGGCCAGAGGACAGCCGCATCGTAGGCTCCTGGCTCACATAGGGCCCTGTGGGGTGCTGGGGACACCAGTCTCCTCCGCCCACTTGACAGGAGTCAGAATTGTCCACTTCCTCAACGGGTATGAGGCCCAAACAGCATGGAGGACCTGTGGGGAGAGAAAGTTGGAAACATAAAAGTCCAGATGGAGGGACAAGCGACACCCAGAGGTCTGTGAGGCAAACTTCCATGATGGGAAATGCACATATTGACTCCAAAGGAAAGACTGAGGCCTGCAGCAATGACGAGGGTGTCCCAGCTACCCTCGCAGTCAGGCAGGGCTGACTACCCCCTTGTCGTTTACAGATGTGGAGGATTGCCCAAGGCCCCTAACACTTCAGTGGGGGACCCAGAAATGCTCTTGGTCCAGTCTGAGTTCTGGGGCAGATGATGACCACTGAATACGTGGGAGTAGTCCTGCTGCATCCATATTTTAGGCTGTGTGTCCACCCTATTGGTATGATCACCCCGCTCACAATCCATTCCCTCAGATCCAGGTGGTTCTGTTTTAGCGATGCCGGGCCTGGCTTAATCTCCCAACAACTGAGTCCAGCATCTACATCTCGGCTCAACGTCTACAGCATGGAGGGGAAGAAGCAACGTCTACAGCATGGAGGGGAAGAAGCAGGAACCAATGCTGCGAACTAGCCTGTGCCTGAATCAAGCATCCCCTTGTTCCCAGGAGACCAACAAGCAAGACAGGAGGGTGGGGGTGGCGTGCAGGGCCTCAAGCCCCTTAACGAAAACGTTCCGTGGAAGCACAAAGAGTTATTATGATGATGTTTGTATGAACTTGGCTCCTTAATGATTGATGCAACCTTATTCCTTAATTAAGAGACAAGACTCAACAAAGCAAAGTAGTTTAGAGTGATTAGAGAATACCTCTTAGTGGGATGAGGGGTAGGAGGAATTTGTTAATGGCCTTGAAATACAGAGACCAAAAGGGCTGCTTCTCTCTCTGCAATGGGTAAGTTGTTTCTTCTGTTTGGGGGGACCACAGCCAGCAGTGTTGGAATAGCATCGACCAGTCCACCCTGCTTACTTCCTGGACTTTTAGCCACACAGCATAGTGGCCCTCCCCCCTTCAATATCCTGTCCCTTCCATATCAGAGCTGAGAATGGCTCTTTATCCATTCCCACCTTTGCGGCCTGCTACCTCCCCGCCTCCACCGACCCATGGATGCTTTTCTCACGATCTCCCCAGTGTGTAGATTCTCACCACTGACCTGGGTGAAATGGAGGGTCCCAAGCTGCCTCCATCCCTGGGTTCTTGGTGACACTCCTCACTCCCGATTGGCCTATGGTGACAGCAGGATGCTCCTGGAGGTGACAGCAGTCCTGGTGGGACTGGAGAAGCTGATGAGTTGAGTCATCAGGCAGTGTGTACAGGAATGAGCCCTCGTCCGGGCTAGGCTTGGGAGCCCTGCAGTGCACGAGAGCAGAGTGAAGGTGAGGTGGGCAGAGTGGTCCAGACCCTCATGTCACCTTTGGCTGCTTCCCTCTGGAAGGTACCAGGGCCGGTCAGAGAGCTGAGACAGGGACCGCTCCACTTGGACATCATCAGGCATGGCACTGTCATTCCCACCGGGAATCCCAGGCACCTCCTATTCCACGCACGCCCTAAATGCGTGGGAGGACTTGATGTCGAGTGCCCAGGGGCCTATGGGCAGAATCAGTTGTATGAGGGTGCACCTGGTCTGCCAGGTGAGGAGGGTTCTGAAAAGCCAGCACATGCCCCAGAGCAGGAAGGTAGGGTAATTGCAAACCCAGCAACTACCTATTAGAGTAACGGCTCTGCAGAGCAGGCCTGTCTGATTTGGGAATTCCTAAGAGAAGTGATTGCATTGGGAAAACCTGCTGTCAGGGATCTCTTCAAGGTGCTGAAGAGCAAAGAGGTCAGTGTGAAAAGTAAGGCACTCCTGATTTCAACCACGGTCTTTCCAATCACTTACTAGGCATCTGAAAGTTGGACAGTGAATAAGGATGACAAAAGAAGAATGGATGCCTCTGAGTTGTGGTGCTGGAGAAGAGTGCTATTCCATGGACTGTCAAAATAACAAGCATATCTTAGAAAAGGTGCAGTCAAGGTGTTCCTTGCAGGCAAGGATGGTGAAGCTTCATCTGACATACTTTGGGAATGTCATCAGTCCTTGGGAGAGTGGAGGGCAAGCAAAGGAGGTGAAGACCCTCAACAAGATGGACTGACACGATGACTGCAGCAGTGGGCTCCAGTGTGCCAGAGATGATATGGATGGCTCAGGATAGGACAGGGTTCAGATCCACTGTTGACAGGGTCACTATGAGTCACTGTCAACTTGACAGCCCTTAATGACAAGAGAAATGATACTGTTGGGCTTTCAGTGGCTGAAGCTGGATCTGAGGAGCTGAAAAGAAGGTGAGGTTCCAGGGCTCAGGAGTAAAAGGCAGGAATGAGGAAGGGGCTGGTTACCTGGCAATCTGGTGACTCTGGGGTTCATATCCATTGCCAAGAACGGTCTGCCTCAGTAGGCTGTTGGTGTCATCCTGCTGTTCAAAAGGAAGATTAACAAAAAGTCACTTCAGGGAGTCTGGGTAACCTTCCAGTGCTCACCGTTCAACTGAATGAGCTAGTTCCTGGCAAAACAATGTCTAGTCCAGAAGCCAAGGGCTGGAGCCTGGAAGGGAGAAAACCCTATGTGACAGCCCAGTCACCCTTTGTCAGTGCCCCATACCTGCTGCCCACCCACCCAGGAGTCTGTTACCTGCTGAAGCTCCCCTGGACAATACTGCTGAGGTTTCAGGCCGGGATAGCTCATTGCAGCTGTGGGGCAGCCCCTGGCACAGGCCTGTCCATTGATGGCACTGAGGTACGGGTGCCCACTGTCTCGGTGGCCTGGAAGTCCTCTCAGGGGCACCATGGTGTACTGGCAGGAGGAAGCAAGAAGGGCACTTCGAGGGAAACCAAGGTCTGTAGTATGTTCTGGAAGAGCAGGAGGGCAGGGCTATGGTTAGACCCTTGGGGCAGCATGCAAAAAACCCCCACAAATGTCAGGAAGCTCCTGACCACTCAGACTCGGCTGAGGTAGGCTGGGAGCTGACACCGCCAAAACAATGCAATGTTAGACATTCTCACTTGGAATATTCTTCGCGTCACCTGCCACTGCCCAGCATCTAGACATTCTTTTGGTAACAGCAGCAGGGAGAAGGGTGAGGAGAGACAATGGCTAGCATTTGGAAGAAAGAGGTGCTGAGCAAACAGAAGGCGCAAGATGACCAGAGATATTGTGATATGAAGCAGAAATTAGCGGATAAAAGATCAATTCGGGGGAAGGGTGAAGGTCCAGAGCAGGCCTAGCAGGAGAAAAGCAGCAGGCAACGCGGACAGGAAGAAGAAGGACTCATCTTCAGTAAGAACATGAGGTCATCAGGGCAGCTTCAGACGTTAAAAGAAGAGGAGTCAGAGAAGCAATGTATTCCAAGCCGCAAAGATGATTCCCACTTCCGGACATGCTCCGTCAGCCAAGGCGTATGAGTTTGGAGGGAAGAGTGGTCTCGACACTGCTGGTGAGCCCTCAGAGGCCCTCAGGGAAACCCTGCTCTGGAGGTGTCACTCACTCTGCTTAGACCAAGCCCTCCACAAGCAGAATGGGATGAAGGCCACGATGATGAGGACGATCGAGCCCAGGACAACGCCAACGATCAGGTAGGGCAGGTCGCTGGAGCGTGCCACCATGGCGCCGGTGCCCATGGGCCTCTCCAGGGTCTCAGGGGGTGGCAGCTGTGGCGGGACCAGCGTTGAGGGTGGGAGACGACCAGGGTGACCAGACTTCCGAGCTACAGTTGCGGATAAAATTAAAAAAACAAAATAAAACAAAAACACCTCACATCGGTATCTATTTCTGACATTTCTTTCACAAAAATAAGAAGAAACGAGGTTAATCTCACAAGTTAGGCCCCACAGCCCCTCTGTAGTGTGGTGCCCACACTCAGCATGAAATACGTGGCTCGTGTGCAATTTGGCATTGCACAATTTGGCGTGGCCAGAGCCTTGTGTTTCCAAAAGCAACCTGAGCCATTTGTGAGCCAAGTGTCGGAGTCAAACCAGGTCTTTTGGACACAACATAGAGATTTTCTGAGAAAACATTTTAAAATGTAAGAAATCAGCAGAAGAGATGGGAATGGAAGAATTTACTCACAAATTTATTCTAGCACAGATTAAGAGATTTAGGCATACTTGGTGATTATGAGCCCGAGTCACAGAGCAGGGAGAGGGGACTTAGGAGGACAAACACAGTCCCTGGGTATGTAGTTGCTAAACAAAAGGCTGGCTAACCCAGAGGTGCAGCTGAAGAAAGGCCTGGTGGTCTCCTCCTGGGAAATCAGGCACTGATGGGGCACATTTCCACTCTGACACACAGGGGGGCCCATGAGTCAGGGTTGATGGCAAGTGGTTAGAATGAATACAGTGAGCGGCAAAATGTCATTTCAAGGTGAAAATGAAGAACAGAAACTCCTCACTTTGGTTTTTACCATTTGGTATCTGACATTATCTCCTTTCTCAAAAAAGTTTTTTCATTCACATTGTGTCACATATGATCCTTCCCAAATGTTGTTATCTTGTAAAATTTTAATCACCCTTGATCTATGACCACTATCACCACTATTACCTCTCCAGATCCTCACTGGATGTTTCCTAGTCCCTTCACCCTCTCCCTCCACCCACCAAACTCTGTGAACCCGTGATTTCCCCCCACCAGCTCCTTCAGCCCCCCTGGCCCACTCCCCTTCCCTCCTTACACATCTTGCTAGCTGTCCTTCTGTTTTTATAATAATGGTCATATGCAGTATTTATCCTTATAAGCCTGAATTACTCAGCATAATGCTCTCTAGCCTCTTCCATGTCATATAGCATTTTTTTTAAATCATTGCTTCTGAGTGCATAGTATTTGATTATGTGAATATACAATTTCCCAGTTATTTGATGGACCCTGGAGCTATTTCCATGTTCTTGCTATTGTGAATATCCTTTTTCTTTTTTTATTATCATACTCTGCCTTGATTATATTACATGCGATAGTCTGTTGCTTTTTCCCAGTATCTCTCTGAAGTCAACTGGCCCACTGCTTCCAAAATCACCTTCCCCAACATGAACTCCTCTTGGAGCAGGAGGGCCATTTTTCATTTGGTAAGTGAAGAGAAGGGTTAAAAATGATGAAGTATGGGGTCACTCGGAAACCAAGGGGTCTTCTTGGGAAAAGATACCCAGCAAGGTTCAAGGAATAAGAATTTTTCTGGAAACGGCGAGATGAGAGAGCAGAGGCTCACCTTTGGTTTCACAGATCATCACGTTGCTGAATTCGCTCTCCCCTCCTTCATTGAAGCACTGCATCTTAATGTCGTAGGAGGTCTCTGGCTGCAGGTGGCTGATGGAGTGCCAGTACCTGTCCCCTGAAAGGAGAAGGTGAGTGTCACGTGACGTCGTGATGTGGCCTTGCTTTGCTTGGCCCCGATCTCACAGTCAGGCAAGGGCTGGGTACCTGGCCCAGGGGGACATTTACTGACACTGGAGGAAACATTCTAGATCCCTAGCTCCTAGAGTTCTATCATCAGGAAAAAAAAGCGTGTGAGCTTAAGAACTGGATGGCCTCAAAACTGGCATGTTGGAGTCAATGTTACAGGCATGGACACTTTGGTACCCAGGGGAGTTATGATTTCCTGGATTTCTCTAGGACCCAGGATCCCTTGTCAGCAAGAGGAAACCCAATAGTGCTTCTTACCTTCCACCATATCCTTCTTATAGTCACTATCATTGTCACTGTCTGTGGGTCGATAGTAGATATAGAAGCCATGGATTGGGGTGTTGTTGTTACTTGCAGGAATGTACTATAGGAAATAAAAGAAAAAACAAAGTTGACAATGGATCTGAGAAATCAACAGAGCAGGACTACCAATGTATGAAAGCTTACCCACAGTTTTGAAATACACAAACATTCAGAACATATTTCCGAGGATACAGTTCCATGAAGTTTGCTCAAGAAGACTATGGAGATTTTTATTTCATATTTTATTTCATTTTGACCCCAACCTCTTAGAGACAGGAAATACTTTTCTATGGGCACTCTTCCTTCTCTGTAACTTACAGCTTCTAAAACTAACTGGAGGGTCAGCTATGAGTCGGTTCCGACTTGACAGCACATTACAACAACAACAAACACTTAAGCTTCCACTCTGTCTATGAGGGTGAGAGTCTCTACATATAGAGGGGCTCTGAACAACGGTGCTAAGATCCTCTGTAGTGGCAGAGAAAGGGGAGGAAGGAGGGTGACGTGCAGCCTGAATGTGGTATACAGCTGCAAGATCAAGCATGTAAAAGGATCAAAGCCATCAAAAGACCACTACTAGCAGCTCCAGCTAACAGAGCCCCTAGGCTTCCTCTGGGCTTCCAGTGGACTGCAAGGGAGAGCCCAGCTCCCAAGCACACAGTGCTTAGTGGGAAGGCCTGAGTGGAAGAAGAGCTGAAGTAGAGAAGTGATTCATGCCTTCCCACTCCTGCTGCCAACAGCCAGCTCGGCCTCAATTCAAACCCCCGTGCTGTCATCCCACAGCACCCTCCGCGAGGGCCACTCACCATCCATTTGAGCATGATGGTGGTCTCGTTGACCGCATCCGTAAAAGTGATGTAGGGACCTGCCACGGGCCTCTCGTACACACGGCCGCTGTAGCCCGACACCACGTACGGCCGGGAGGGGGCGCTGGGCTCGCTCTCCCCCAGCATGTTCAGGGCTCTGACTCGGAACTTGTAGGAGGTGCCTGGTGAGGAGAGGGGCTCTCTGGGTTGAAGGTAGAGATAAGTGTCTGGTTCCCCCATAGCCCTCCAAGACCCTGGACCAGGGAGGGGGCTTTTCTGGGCAGCCTGTCCTCAAAGACCTCATAGGATATCCTCTTCCACAAAGAAAGGGCTCTGGACCCTCGAATGGAGAAAGGAAGAAAGAAGGGGCATGAGGTCTCGAGTACCAAAGAGCACCCCCATGAGTACCAGGGTGGGGGGGTAGAGCAGAGGAAAGGGCCTCTAGAGCTCCCACTCTCGGAGTGGTCAGTGGAACAGTCAGGGGACCAGTTCAGGGAGGCCCTACCTTTCTCCAGGCCTGTGATCTCCACAGAGAGCCGGGATGGGGGGATGGCACTAGTGGCCAGAATCCAGTCCCCGACTTTCTTCAGCTTCTTGTATTCCACGCGGAAGGACTGGATGGGGAACCCGCCGTTCCCACGGGGGATCCAGGTCACATACACAGACGTCTCAGAGGCCATGGAGATGGTGGGCCTGTCCGGGGCTTCTGGGGCTAGGAAGGAAGCAGAAGGAGGGTACAGTCAGGTGGTGGTGGTGTTCTGACTATGCTCACCAGCTCCTCATATCCCTGCAGCCTTCACTCACTGCTGGATGGAGCACCCACTCACGAGACCCTTTCCAACAAGGAGCCTGTAGCTTAAGATCCCTTCAAGCTATACTTCTGGGAAGCCAGAGATAGCAGCTCTCTCCCAGATGGCTCTCAAACCACAGAGCCAGGAGCCCATGTCAGATCCTTGTTTTTAAAATTCTGATCTCTATTTTGTCCTTGTGGAGAACTCAAAAAAATGCCATATAGACTCCCAGGACTCCAGAACTAGAATCCTACTTGACTTGCAGCTATAGGGCCTCTGAAACGGTGGGCCCGGCCTCCATTTCTCTGCCTTGCTCACCCCACACCCCACTGCCACTGGGCTTACGAGAGAGGCGGCCATGGTCCGGCTGGCTGCTGCTCTGGGGGCTGGCTCCTGGGTCATCTCTCTGGATCTGTTGCTCCTTGCTGGCCACGATCTCAGGTTTAGGTCGCCGTCCTAGGTAGAAGTGGATTGAGGTCAGCAAGGGAGGGAGCACACATTAGCTTTCTCTCTCTCCAGAATCCTTTTTGCCTTGGACTCTGCAGAGGATCTTGCCAAGGAGATGCAAGAGACTGAGAATGTGGTTCGATTCCTGGCTCCATCTGATTCGCCCATGGAGTTGCTGCTGGTCCTGAGTGAGAAAAAGGCAAGGGGTCCCACAGAAGCCCCTGTTACCCTCCTGATGAGAGGTGAGGCCTGGGCCTGTGCACATATGAGCTAGGGAGGCCGTCAATGAAAGGAAAGGTGAAATCCATGGTGAATCATGGAGGGAAGGGGATCAGCCTTCCCACTTGGGCCTGGCAGGACTTGTGTGGGCCCAGGAGAACCCCATATCGGGGCCAGTGGTGACCCTTACCAGTTCGGAAGGTGACCATGGCCGTCTGGCCCTCGCCTGCACAGTTGTAAGCGGCCATCTCCACTTCATACAAGCTCCCAGGGTCAAGCCTGCTGAGGGTCAGTCGGTGCTGGCTGGCTGGAATGCCGGAGATGATCCAGTCCTCAGAGGCATTGGTGACCTGCTGGAGAAAGTGGTCTGTATAAAGACCAGCATCCCTGCTGGGGGCGGGCTGTGATTTGCAAGAAAAGCAATGTTGGTTTTGTGTTTCATTAAGTGTCAATGAGTTGCTTGCGACTCATAGTGACCCTACTATGTGTGACACCCCTAAACCCTGCTCTATCCTGAGCCAACCTTACCATCTCTGACACACATCCCCCAATTACCCCAGTCACTGAGTCAATCCTTCTCATCCAGAGTTTTTCTCTCCTGCCCTGTCCCTTTGCCATGCCAAGCATGATGTCCCTCTCCAAGGACTGGTCCCCCCTTGTAACATTCCGAAAGTATGTGAGATAAAGCTGCAGAATCCTTGCCTCCAAGAAGCAGCCTTGTTTCAACCTCTCTAGGACAAACATATTTGTTCTCCTAGCAGTCCATGGTAAATTCAATACTCTTCCCCAGCACCACAGCTCAAACGCATCAATTCTCCAACAGTGAGCCCAAGAAGGCCGGGGAGGAAAGGTAAGGAGTGGGCCGGGGTAGGGAGCAGAGCCGAGCTCCGCCTGCCCCTCTATCTCTGGGACACCCATCCTCACTGCACTGTGGAGCCAGCCTCCCTGATGCCGGTCTCACTATCCACCCAAAGCCACTGAACAGCTAAGTCTGAAGAAGTGACTGATACTGCTGAAAACCTCTCCAACAACCTTGAACTCTAAAGTCCTTCCATTCCCAACTCTTTCTCCTAGCTCTATTTAAACTGAATACATCTACATCCAAATGAGACGAGGAGAACAGTGATAATAAAAACAGCAGCACCAGTAGAAACAGCATTTGTTCAGTGCTCACCATGTACTAGACATTGGACCTTTTCGTGGCCAACTCAGCTCACTGCCATCGAATCAGAACTAGCTCGGAGCTGACCCTCTGGCGCATTTCTGTAAACCACACAGGAAGAGAGTGCCCTTCTTACTGCCGAGGTGTTGCTGGTGGATTTGAACTGGCAGGGAGGTGTCACCTTTGGATAAGCAGTGCACCTTCCTATGGATGACATCACCAGAGCTCCATTCACTTTATATCCTTCTTGTTGTTTCTGTTACATTGCCATGAACTGATTCAAAGCGGACTCTCCAGCAGGTTTTCAGAGGCAGGCTGCTGCCCATATTTCTTCCATGGAGCAGCTGGTGGAGTTCAACCACCACTCTTTGAGTTGGGAGTGTAACTCCTCACTCACTAGGCCACAAGAGCTCCCTACTTTATATGCAGAGCCTTGTTTTTCCCCACAACAGCTCATTTCATGGCCCTAGTGGGTACAGAAACCCAAGGCCTCACTCCAATGCTCATAATAGTAACTTACTCTAGAAAGAAAACATCTCACAAAGTCCTGGGTTCAAATCCTTCCTGGTTGTGTTCCCTATCAATTGTACAACTCCGTGCAAGTTCTCTGACCTCTCAGACTCTTAAGGTTTTCCGTTCTGTTGTTGTTGTTCTTAGTTGCTACTGACTTGGCTTGGATCCACAGCACCTCCTGCACAACACAGCAAGCATTGCCTGGCCCCCGGCCATCTTCGCGATCACTGGCATGCTTGAGCCCTTTATTGTGGTCACTGTGTATTCTGAGTGTGTTCCAACCTAGGGAGTTCATCCTCCAGCACTATCACCAACAACAATCTGTTATGAGTTATAGGGTTTTCATCAGTTACTTTTGGAAAGTACATTGCCAGGCCTTTCTTCCTAGTCTGTTTTAGTCTGAACACTCCACTGACACCTGGCTACCATGGGCGACCCTACAGGCATCTAAAACACCACTGCATCACTTCCAGCTTCACAGTAACATGTAAGCTACCACGGTACAACAAACCAAGAGATCACTGGAGATTTCCATTCTAGAATGTGACAAATAAAATCTCTTGTGTTATTCTGAAGATTAGATCAGTAGCACCCACAAAGTTACTAGCAAGGAACTAGAACATAATAGGTTCCTAACATGCACATTCCCTCTCCTCACCTCCCAATCTTCCCTGTGAAGTCTCTGCAATTTAAAGCCCCTCCCTCTTTTTTTTTAAAAAAAAAAAAAACCACGAAAAAATTTTGCCCTCAGCCCTTGCTAAAGTCTTTTAAACTATGGACAATTTATAACTATTATAGATTACTCTTCCAAGGCTCTGAGTCGCTAGCCCTTTAAATTTTGAGGAGAAAAAAAGGGCTTCGTTTCCCCAACAAGTGATGCTGCCAGGCTGCTTCGTTCCACCTACCCTGTCTTTCAGGACAGAAGCCTCAACTGATAGCCATTAACCTGCAAATTGTTGATGCACTTGGTGGTAAATGAAAAGCTGCCAATATGAGTTTACCCAAAGGCACATGGCAAGAAAAGCCTAGCAATCCAGTACTGAAAAAATCAGCCTTTGACAAACCTAGGAAGCACAGCTCTCCTCTGACACACATGGGGTTGCCTTGAGTTAGAGCCAACTTGATGGCAGTTGTGTTTTCGGTTTGCATCTCAGAGAGCCTGCTGGGAAGTGAAGCTGTGGTTTGTTGGTAGAAGAAAACAGCTGGGAGGAAGAGCTTTTATCCCCAAGCTGAATATTCAGAAGTGGAACAAAACCTACCATTCAAGGAGTAGGGATAGTCTGGGCTCATTAAGGTCAGGTTTCCAGGACTTGTTCCAAGGGGAGAAGTTTTACAAACTGAGACTCCCTAGAGATGTTGGAAACCCAAACACAGTAGCCTGGGTCTGCAGATGCACCAAGAAGGGAGGCTGATTCAAACACTTAAAAAAGCGAAAATTAGCCAAATGATTCCCAGTCCCCAGCAAGGGAAGGAGTGTGTATGAAAAAATGCAACACAAATGCTGATTTTTTTAAATTTCAAATCCTTACTTGTGAGTTGATCTTTAGAATGTGCATTAGTCCTTCAGAAAAAGAACAGCTTTCAAGATCTAATTTCTGCCTTAGCAATGCCTGTCTATTGGCTCCAAGCACCACCGAGTCCAGAGTCTAATAGAAGCCAGGCGCAGCAGGGGGACTGGGTCCTCTCACTTCCCCTGTGCCCCCCAGCCTGGACCCAGTAATGAAAATACAGAGTGGGAGGGTCATTAGTCACTGTCACATGCACGGTGAGAGTGACGCGGCTGCAGCCTGCGACTTCCGGACCCCACGCCTGGCTGCTGCCAGCCTGCTTCTTGGTGAGCCAGTTTTGTGGCCACCTATTGGCCTGAAAAATATTATTCTTGCTAACACGCCGGCTCTTTTCTCTTGGGAGCCAAGGGCTTTTGGCCTGCCATGATCTTTGCCTACAACTCTGAGACGGAGTTAGAGGGGAAGGTAAAGGCTAGTACCTGGCCTGCTCCATAGCTGATGCTGAACAATGCAGCTTTTTGTTAACTCAGCCACCAGCAGGCTGAGGGTTAACGAGAAGCAGCGCCCTTGTTCCACCTAGGAGACTGGCAAGAGAGGGAAGGCTGGGGCTGCTCCGCCTGAAACGTGACTTTCTGCTGGCCCTGTCTCTGTGGACACGTATGGGCCCAGGTTCTTCCAGGAGAGCATGCAAATAAAGGAAATGGACAGGATGGGCAGCAGGGTCCAAGGCAGGGGAAGCCACTTCCAAATGCTCCACCATACAGGGGACAGAGGAGGAGAAAGGAGAAAGATTTTTACACATTCATCCATTTCCCTAATTTTCTTACCAACTGTATGTGGCACTTTTGTAAGTTACCATTAATGCATGATAAAATTCTGTATTTTCTACTGTTAGGATTTGCCATCTAGTCAGAACCAACTCATAGCTGATCTTCCAGCAGGTTTTCAGAGGTTGTAAGTAGCACAGGGGGCAAATAAGGTCCCAAGAATTGATGGGATACCAACTGAAATCTTTCCAGTGACAGATGCAGCCCTGGACGTGCTCACTCGTCTATGCTAGGACGTTCGGAGGACAGCTGCCTGGTTACTTGACAGGAAGAGAGCTATATGTGTTCCCATTCTGAAGAAAGGTGATCCAACAGAATGTGGAAATGATCGAACAATATCATTAATGTTGTTAATATTAATACTAACATCATTAATGCCCATTTTTCTCCCACAGAGCAACTGGTGGAATCAAATCATTTGCCTCTGGTCTGGCAGCACAACTTCCTTATGCATGGGCCACTAGAGCTCTCCCATTTTCTATCAATGACTTGTTAAGTATCATTTTTAACATCTGTTTACTATCCAGTGGTTTTAGACAGGGTCCCTGGTTGGTGCAAAAGCCTTTAAGATCTGTCCACCAACTGAAAGACTGACTGGTGGTTCAAATCCACCCAGAGGCACTTCAAAAGAAATGTTTGGTGGTCAGCTTCTGAAAAAAAAAATAAATAAAATCAGCCACTTAAAGCCCCCCTGGGGCATAGTTCTGCTCTGACACAGATGGGATCACCCTGAGTCAGAGCTGACTGATTATTGGCTAATGACCTTAGAAAGGAGATAGTATGTCCATGGGAAGAACAGGAATGTGTTTGCAAGCATACTTTATTACAGGGAATTGCATGTCCCTGTCCCTGATGGGGTCAGAGCAGAGCCTTGAGGGAGGGCAGGACATGGTGTCCCCATCCTGCCTCACAGAGCCTGCTGGCCAGGAGGATGGGGCTGGGTGGGCTCTATAGACTCCCATCCTCCAACCCCTGACAGCTTCCAGCATATTCTCCTGGACAGAGTTCCTTCTGTCAGGAGAAATAACTGAGGTCTGAACAACATGATGGGCTTTCTGCTGAAATGCCTGTTTGTCAAACCCAAACCATGATGAAGTCTGAGAACTGAGGGAGTATTTTACAGCCGTCAGAGAAAACACTTGTTCACAAATAGCTGCCTGTGTTTTCCTAGCTTTAGAATGGACTCTTCATGCCAGCATTCCTGCAGGTATGTGCCTGCTGGAGCTTACTCTAGTTAAAAAGCTAAGCAAAACAACAACAACATCAACACCAGACAACAGGAAAGAGGTGAAGATGAGCGATGACTTGCTGGAAGGTGGCCCTCATTTCTCCTTGGGGACTAGGAGTAGGCTTCTGGGAAGGAAACACAGAACACTTAGACCTGCGAGCTCACGTTTAAGTCTGTGGTTAGTAGTTCAAATCCACTCAGACTACCTCAGAAAAAAAAAAGTCTGGTCATCCACCTCAGAAAGATCCCAGCCATAAACAACCCTATGGAGCAGTTCTACTCCCCTGTACATGGGGGTGAGTAGGGGTCAATTTGACAACAATGCTGATTGTTTTGTTGTTAAGGCTCCTGGTGTCTCTTTCAGAGCCAGATTCCTGGGCACTGGGTCGGGATGGACCCTGGAGGGTAGGAGAGTGGTCATGACCAGAGGTGAGTTTGCTAGTCCAGGCCCAGAAGTACAGGGGGAGGTGGTGCAGAGACAATAGAGGAGAGCTGTGCAGGGAGAGACAATGGCTCGGCACCAGCCACCTACCTTGCGGTGTTTCACCACATAGTAGAGGATGGGGGCCCGGCCACTGCCCTCATGCCGAGGCCGCCACACTAGCTCATACGAGTCAGTCTTTGATGTCCGGGGTGAGCTGAGGATTATGGGGGCCTCGGCTGGAGCCACCTGGTCCTTCTCTCCTGGGCACGGAGGGGAAGCAGGCTGCACTGATGTCAGGGGGCCAGTGTGTCCCCTCAGCATCTGGTCTGGGCTGCCGGCTCGGGAAGGTGGAACTGGAGGTGTGGCCATGTCTGATTTAGCTTCTCGCCACGGCCTCAAGGTTGTACCTGTAGGACCAGGGGGGACAAGAAAGAGGAGGAAGAGGTCCGTTAATCTCTCCTGTGAGTTTCTCTCCTGAGCTGTTACCATGAAGGAAGAACCAACTGGGAGGGAGGGGACAGGAAGAGACACTCATACTTAAGGGCTAGATGACCCTCACTCACTGCACACACAGCCAGGCACGTGAGAAGAGGCCGACAGCCATGCCCCATCAGGAGGGAAAGGCGGCCTGGCCACACTTCCAGGTTTCATGAAAAGATTATCGTGGTCCCTATATGAATACGCCGTGCAAATTGGTGAAAGATTGAATATTTGAATAATAACTGTTTTTAAAAACTCGTAACAATTAAATGAGTCATGAGCAAATTTTCCAGCGGTGTAGGCCACTGGGAGTTGTGCTGCTAGGCTGAAGACCACACCTCGTTGGCAGTTCAAATCCACCAGCAGCTCCGAGAAGAAAGATGGCAGCTGTGTGTCAGTCCCAGCTCGACAGCAATGAGTTCTTAGGTCACTTCTGACCTATTATTAATACTCTAATGTAAATGCGAACTTTCAAATAAAGACTGACTTTATCTATTTTATGTATATGGGTAATGAAAGCCCATCAAGGAGACATGGCGGTATTATATGGATTATATATTGGTGCATTATCTGTTGGGTCGTGAACTAAAAGAGCAGCAGTTCAAAGCCAACAGCCAGCCATTCTGTGGAAGAAAGACAGACTGTCTCCTCTCATACAGAAATCTGACAGAGGGTGGCCCTGAGCTATAATTAACTCAATGGCAGTGGGCTGGGTTCGGTTTGTCAAGAATTGACCAGGAAAGAGTGTTCTGTGAATGCCTGGGTGGAATCCGAGACTGTGGGGCTGTACTCACCAGGCCTGGCGGTCCTTAGCTGGACCACAGCGTGGGCACTGCCCACCTCGTTCTCAGCCATGCACTGGTAGACGCCTTCGTCCTCGGGCCCCACACTGACCACGCGCAGGGCCCTGCGGGACACGCGGAGGCGCTGACTGGAGGTGAGGGGCACGGCATTCCTCAGCCACAGCACGGAGGGTGGAGGGTTTCCCCGAACCTCACAGGTGAGCTTGGCACTCTGGCCCCAGGGGATGACCAGCTGCGACAGCTCCATGGTGACCTCGGGAGGTTCTGTGGGAAGCCAGAGTGGGTTGAGAAGAACTGTTCTTCCTGTCTCAGGGTCACATGTTCTGAGGGGGTGGGTTACAATTAGGGGAGGTGCCCTCCTTTCTCTTGGCTGGCTGTTTTCCTCAAGGGAGAGAGTGGAAGGAAGGAAAAGCACCATGCCTCCTCCGCATGGTCACACAGGAAAGGGAATGAAGTGGTTGCCTGGACCCCGTGCATAACTAACCCTGGGGCCCACAGACTCAGATGCCCCTCCACGCAGCAGTAACCCGCAGTGTGTGCTATCCTAGAAAGGCCAAGCAGGTCAAAGAGAGAGCGGAGGAGGACAGGGCTCAGAGGACACTCACCAAACACCTGGACATTGTAGAGGATGACTGCTGCCCCAGACTCTCCCACCCCGTTGTCGGCCATGCAGCGGTAGGTCCCCGAGTCCTCTTCGCTGGTGGTGTCGATGAGAAGGTTGCTCAGCAGGAAGCGTGTTTTGTTGTAACCAGCAACACTGGATCCATCCTTGGCCCAGGTGACCCTCGGGGGCGGGATTCCACTGGCCACACATTCCAGGATGAGACTCTGCCCTTTGGTGACGATGATGGTCTGCGCCTCTGGAGGGTAGATGATGCGGGCTGCCTCTGCGGTGGAGCCTGGAGGGGCACGCAGGGCAGAGCATGTGGGACCAGACCTCATGCAAAGGGTGCCCTTCAGCCCCAAGTGTCTGTGTAAAGTGGGCAGGTCACTTCACTCCCCTGGGCCTTGGTTCCCTTATCTGAGACAGGAAGTTATCTCTGCAGAGAGCAGTTCTCAGTACTAAGAGGATAATACAGAGGCAGAACACTACTGAGGGACCTGGCTGCTATCAAAAGGCTCAGACAAACCAATGCCTACATGAGACAAAAAGACCAGCTGCTTCCACAAAGAGTAAAATAAAACTCAAATTGCATTGCCATCAAACTGGAACTGACTCACAGCTCACTCTCCAGCATGTTTTCCTGTCCGCAGTAAATTGCACAGGAGAAATCTTTCATCTTTTTCCGGCAAAGCAGCTGGTGGATGTAAATCGTCAGCGAGGCATCACCATTGGGTTTGTGGCTCAACTCCCTATGGACTATCCCTTCAAAACGCCTGAACAAAAATACACAAACTGGTTGCTGCTGATTTGATCCTGACGCCTAGAAACCCGGAAGAACAGAGTAGAACTGCCCCGGAGCATGTACAGAGGCAGGCTGACTCATTGTTCTCCATGGACCAGGCAGTGGGTTTGAAACACCAACTTCGCAATTAGCATTTTAGAACTTTGTTCACTTTAGCTGTTGTGCTACCCAAGCTCACTCCAAAACTGACAGCCGAGGGAAGACCATGGAAAATTCTGCTCTGTCCAAGGGAAATAATGAATCAGAATTGACACACACAATAACAACAGTATCATCCACACAACATAGAAAAATATTTAAGTTTGTGTGTTTGCAAAAAGAGGGAGAGAGATGAGGATGTAGATGGAGAAAGAGGAACAGTTTAAATGGTGCAGGTGATTTTTGCTGCATGCTGTCAAAAGTATACCGAGAAGGATGAAGTATTAGAGCCAAAGGTCTCCGGGTAGGCGTGTTAGCATCAACAGCTCTTCTATCTCAGGGTTCATAGATACAGACTGACTACTTCTTCAAGTGCAGCTGAGGTGGCAGAGATTTCATTCCAGCACTGGGGCAGAAACTGAACAGAACTCATTGAGAAGCAGGTTCACCCCACCATGCTGCCATCATCCTCAGAGACTACAAGGGGCATGCTGACTGTGTGAGTTTCCAATTTAGGGATCAACCAGGGTCAGATCATGTTTTACAAGACCTGAAATTGAAATAATTTGGGATGCCTCTTTTAAGAAAGAGATTACACTATTTGGAATATACCCTGAGAAAATAAAAACTGAGGCACAAATGGAGATTTGTACACCAATGTTCACAGCAGCATTATTCACCATCACAAGAACATGGAAACAGCCAAAATGTCCAACCACAAATGAATGGACTGAAAAATTATGGTGCATTCATACTAATGGAATACTATGCAGCACGCAGGAGCAAGAACTTTGTAAATTATTACCTAACTTGGGAGGGACTGGAAAGCATTATGTTGAGTGAACTAACTTAGTCCCACAAAGATAAATATTGTATAAAACCATTATTGTAGAATGAGTATAAGGATCCAGGAGGGGTGGGAAAGGCTGGAAGCAGAGGGAAGTGGATGTACAGGGGGGCGGGGGGGATTAATCATGGGGCTGTACAATTTGATGGTGGCGGGGTGAGGGAAATTCAAAGAATTTGTCCTTAAAAACAATGTATTCAAATTTTGTAAATAAAGTAGTAAACATTTTTTTTTAAAAGAAAACGATTAGAAAACTGCATATATAAAACTAGACATACAGAGCTTGGGAAGGAGCCAACTGGAGCTCCGGTGGCAAGAAGCTGCGCTGCAATTCTGAAGGCACGTGGTTCGAGGCCACCAGCTGCTCTGCAGGTGAAAGATGGGCCATTTTCTCCTGTGTGTCTAACTGGTTCTGCTAAACTAGAGGATCAGCGATGAGACAGTTCCGACTCTATGGCACACCACAACAAGGAGCCAATGCAGTTTAGTTCTTTAGCATCATAATTTTTACTGTTGTTGTGTCATCAAGTAACTATAATTCATAGTGTTCCTGTGAACGGTAGGAGGTATCTCACTCCCTGATTTCAAATCCTACTACACTGCCCTAGTGGTAAAGACAGCATGGTACTGGTACAATGACAGACACATAGATCAATGGAATCGAATTGAGAATCCAGAGATC